TTTTGGTTGGCCAATAAAGGTATCACTGATGGATTTTTGTTTGCATTTATATAAGGCAGTTTCCAATGGTTACCAAGAGATCAGAAGGTTATGCTCTTCTTATTTGTACCAGGCCTGGCTGCCAACTGCAAGGCTCTATGCTGTGCATGTCACGCACCTTAGCAAGTATGCCATCCGTGGTGGTTATTTGGGCAAAGATTGCACCTCAACCCGAAGGGCTTGTGGTGCAAAATCCAGAAATCCTGATGCAGACAGATTTGCGGATGAAAAGTGTCTGCAAGGTGGTGGTGGTGGGTGGAAGTGTTTTGGTTTTTTTTAAAAAAACAACCTTAAATTAATTAATGTTAATTTTGTAATTTGTAATATAACTTTCTTGTTGGCATAACCAGCAGTAAAGGGCACCTTTGACAAGGGAGGGAAGTGTATTTGGGATTTTCAAAAGCCCAGATGTGGTCTCGTGCTTACTATGCATTTCTTGTTGCAACAGCCTTCAGATTTAGAGCATCCCAGTATTCCATGGAGCGATATCTATATCTAGATATAGATATAGATACACACACACATTTAGAGCATCCCAGTATTCCATGGAGCGATATCTATATCTAGATATAGATATAGATACACACACACACACCAATCCACTTTGTTCCCAAACCAGTCTTGGTCTTTGATTATAACTGACATTAATGCTAGGCTGCTTCAAATTTTGCCCTTCCAATTTCCAATCCATGCCAAGTGATTTATCCATTTATGGGATCCCGTTAAATATTTATTTCAGTAATTGCAAGAGTTCCTGCATATCGCCCAAGTGAGAGGAATAATTAAATAAATTCCCACACCATATTTGTATGCCGAAAAAGAAAATAGAGAAAATCTCTTTCTGGCCCCCTTTATTGCTATCCCAGGAGAGAAGAACAGTTCTGCATTCCAGATAGTTCCCAGAAATATCTCTCTTTTGAGCACCCCAAAGACCTCTGCACTAATATAACAGCGAACAGCATCTCACAGCTGCTGTAACTTTTCCTCCACATTTCTGCCAGCCTCAGGAGCCTTTAAAGTATTGCCAAAAACAGCTCTTTAGCCTGATGTATCATTATCAGCGATCACATATAATTTCATGGCAGAACTCCAGGAACTGATGAATGACTAGGAAACCCTTCCTGTTGTGAAGAATCGAAGCGATGCTACCTGCTCATCTTTCAAGCCAAGGATGCATCTGTCCAGCAGAATCCAGCATGCATTAAAAAAAAGATGACCCAAACAAACCCAAACTTCTAGCTTTCCAGGTTCAGCTACCAGGAATGAAAGGAAAAGACAGCTCCACGGCTGTACAGTCAGTCAAGCTGGAAACTATTTCCCAGGCCCTCCTAGTGTTCTTGCATGCTCTCCCCCAACATGCCCACAATAACACCGAGAGATATTTCTGGAAACTAGCTGGAATGCAACCAATTGTCCTCTACTCGATACCGCCACAAGGTACAGTAGAACATGAATTCTTCTATCGCTGTTCTATAGAAGAACAGCTTATGGAGTGGTTCCAATCTTTCTTTATTGCCAATACAAGTCAGGGGACTTTCCACTTGGATCCAGTCCTTTCATCCTATGTTCCAGCCCGAAAGCATGAGCCAAACTTATTATAATGGTGGTGGTGGGTTGTAGAGTTCTTCAGGGTTCTTTTAAGTCCCACATTTCTTCACTGATGGGATGCAACATAGCCTATGGGAGGTTTCCAAGTAGTCTCTCATCTTAGACCCTGACTTAGCCCTTTCTGCTCCTTTCCCTCTATGTTTTGTATCATTACTGGGAAATATTGTACCTTATGAGAAGTTCGAAATATAATCCAAGCAAGGAAGCTCTGAAAAGGAGAAGGCGAAGATTGGGTCAACAAGTGTGAATGCTGTCCAATAGGCAGGAAAGTAGAAGAGAGGGCTTGCATGCTTGCACGAGATAGCCTGCTCCCCCACATTTTGTTGTCGTGTAGCTCCAAGTTGTTTCTGTCTTGTGATGACCCTAAGGCAAACCTATCACAGGGTTTCCTTGGCAAGATTTGTTCGGAGGGTTTTTTCCTTTGCCTTCCTCTGGGGCTGAGAGGGCATGACTTGCCAAAGGTCATCCAGAGGGTTTCCGTGGCTGAGTGGGGATTTGAACCCTGGTCTCCAGTTGTACAACAGTCAAATTGAAGGGATGTTATATTGAGGATGGAACAAGCTTGTTTCCTATTTCCACAGAATAGGACATGTAACAATGGATGGAAGCTATAGGAAAAGAGATTCCACCGCAACATTAGGAGGAGCTTCCTGACAGTGAGAGCTGTTTGACAGTGGAACACACTCCCTCGGAGATGGTTGATTCTCCTTCTTTGGCAGTCTTTAAACAGAGGCTGGGTGGCCATTTCTCGGGGGTGCTTTGATTGAGAGTTTTTGCATGGCAGAGGGTTAGACTGGATGGCCCTTGGGGTCTCTTCCAACTCTATGATTCTATGAAATCACTACACCATGCTGTGCAATGTTCTTGCCAATGAAGGTTCACAGAAAGCAGCCCTATATCTCACTCAGGGCTGTATCTAGCCTGGTGTTGTCTACTACACCAACTGGCAGCCGCTCTCCAGGATTGTGTAACAAAAGTTTTCCCTTCCCTCTCTAGAGTTGCTAAAGACTAGATTTGGGACCTTGTGCTTGCAAAGTAGGCATTTTATTAGAATTGCAGCCCATCCACAGAGATACTGTCAGATCTCAATCTCCTGCACCTCTGAGATTTTAATGTAGAACAGCTTGCATTTTGAGCCCTAGTCCTATGCCTTGACCATCAAGGTTCCACTGGAGTGATGGCCTCATTTCAGGTTCAGTTTTATTCATTCACACTTAAACTTGCCTATATGTTGGGAACTAGAATCATAGAATCCTAGAGTTGGAAGAGACCTCAAGGGCCATCCAGTCCAACCCCATTCTGCCATGCAGGAACTCAAAATCAAAGCATCCCCTATGACAGATGGCCATCCAGCCTCTGTTTAAAGACCTCCAAAGAAGAAGACTCCACCACTCTCCAAGGGAGTGTCTTCCACTGTCAAACAGCTCTTTCAGGAAGTTCCTTCTAATATTTAGGTGGAACCTCTTTTCTTGTAGCTTGCATCCATTGTTCTGGGTCCTCATGTCTGGAGCAGCAGAAAACATGCTTGTTCCATCTTCAGTGTGACACCCCTTCAAATACTTAAACAGGGCTATCATATTACCTCTTAACCATCACTTTTCCAGGCTAAACATACCCAGCTCCCTAAGTCTCTCCTCATAAGGCATGGTTTCCAGACCCTTCACCAGTTTGGTTGTCCTCCTCTGGACCCGCTCCACCTTCCCAACATCCTTCTTGAATTGCGGTGCCCAACTAGCTTTGATATAGTTCAAAGAGGGTGACTGGAGCTTGCTTTGCCATGGTTGGTTTGGTAGTCCTTGATGAATGAGTTGTTGGGAGTCCTTTCCCCAAAGCATTGATTTCCCCAAATAGCGGCCTTTATTTCTATTCTCAGATTGGACCTTCAGCCCAACCATACACGCCATTTCATCCAGAAGGTGATGGTGCCTTGAAAAGACTTTGTGATCCCCTCAGGGAGTCCACTCATGGCCTTTTCAAGGCTACCGCCATTTCCCGTCCCTTTGGGCATGGCCACCTTCCTGAAGCCAAAACCACTGCCACGAAAGAACGCAGCGGGGAGATTTCAGGAGAGCTGAGCTTTAAGATTTCTCTTGGAAATATCCAATAAAAACAGTCTACTGTACTGGGCAGGGGAAAGAAAAAGAAAAAAAAAAAAAGGGGGGGGGAGAGCGAGCGAGCGAGTGCGCCTTCAGTTACACACATTCTGTGGTCAAGTGTTTCCTGCCATTTGGTAGCATTGCCAGTAAAAATGAGGGATTGCTTATTTATTTATTTTTCAAAACTGAGCTCCAGGAAAGGGTCAGCTCAGATTCGGAAAGCAATCTCCCCCTCCTCCTTCCCATAGAATGACACTGAGGGAGCAGAGGGTTTCAGCACCAACAGGATTGATCAGCTACAGGATGAAAAGCACATAAAAGCACCCTCTGACTTGGCAGGTGAATGGTGAATAGTCAAACCTGACCCCCTGCTAGTAGTTTTTCCTCCCATCCGTGTGTTTCCAGCGAGGAGGATTTCGGAGCAATGGGATGCTCTTGGTTCTTGACATTTAACTTAGCCTGCTCATACCTTTTTTGGGGGAGATGGTCATCAAAAGTGTTATTTTCTGTGACGATCTGGTAACAGATGGCTTTGGCCCCCACCATGTGCATCACTTTACAGGTGTATCTATTTGCATATAGTTGCCACTCTCTCTTTCATACCCGCACCTGAGCCAGTGGGGTGTAGTGGTTTCATTGCTGGACCATGACTCCGGAGACCAGGGTTTGATTCCCTGCTTGGTCATGAAACCCACTGGGTGACCCTCGAGGGAAGGCCAAAGCAAACCTCCTGTGAACAAATCTTGCCAAGAAAACCCCATCTTAGGGTCGCCATAAGTTGGAAACGACGACATGAAGGCACACAACTGTCCCACAACCTATTTGTTTGCTGCTGACTCAATGGAGCAATAGCTAAGAGTCTGGGCCATGGGTGCCTAAAAGTGCTGCTCTTAGATCTGGCCTTGACTCCTTGCTCAGTAGTCATCTCTGGTTGGGCTAAGTCATGAGCCTAGATGGCCATCTGTCAGGGGTACTTTGATTGTGAGTTCCAGCATGACAGGGGGTTGGACTGGATGGCCCTTGGGGCCTCTTCCAACTCTAGGAGTCTATGTTTTATATTCTGCATTCAAGTACTCGAGACACCCATAAGCACTATGCACGCAGTACTTTCAGAAGTACTTTAAGTTTAGGTGGGAGCTTAAGGTTTAGCCTTTTCACAGCAAATCCCCAAATGAAGATTGCTTGCATCAGGGTGGTGGTGGTGGTGGGGGGAGTAGCTTTGCAGCACAGTCAAGTCAGTGGATGAAGAAAGGAGCCATTTAAAGAGCTATTTTGCAACTCAGTGCGATTCCAAAGTAAACCCTGTGCTTGCCTGTGGTGGCGTTCACAAGGTGGAGCTTTGCTTGCTTATGCCACCCTCACTGTCCTGTCTAGTCTGCAAATCAGAGATGAGGTCTCCTACTGAAATGCCTCATTTATAGCGACAAAAGTTACACAAACACTTCTGAATTTCCTTTTGTAGGTTGTCTTGAAGTGCTGGTAGCAGTACATACAGTTCCTTACTGCCTTCCCAGACTTGAATTTCCCAGTTTGGCTTGCTTTTTTTGGAAGGGGGGGGG